TTCCTTTAGAAACATGCTACAGCTCCTTTGTTTCCTTTAGAAACATGCTACAGCTCCTTTGTTTCCTTTAGAAACATGCTACAGTTCCTTTGTTTCCTTTAGAAACATGCTACAGTTCCTTTGTTTCCTTTAGAAGCATGCTACAGTTCCCTTGCTTCCTTTAGAAACATGCTACAACTCCTTTGTTTCCTTTAGAAATATGCCTCAGTTCTTTTATCGCTTCCTTTGTTTTTTAATGTATAATTCAACTTGGATTTCAACAGCTAAAGTAATAACTTAGTGACTTTTAATTACGGAAATCTCTCTAAAAGCCGCGCTCTCCAACCAATCAGTTCAAATCATTAATGCTACTAATGCATAATCAAAATGCAAACTTACATTGTTCAGTTCTACTTTAAATAACAAGATCATTTAATTTTAACTTTGTTCACATTATTTATAGCTGAATTTGTGTGCGAGTGTGTGTGACTTGAATACAATGAACTTCAAACCTTTTAGGCTTAGGGTTACAATTTAACAAGACGATAATATCGTGATCTCTGATAACTCGAAGGTTAATATGAAAACAGTTTAAATATTATGTTACTTTATTCCCATCACTTAAGTTATAGGATGTCCTTCTTTCGCATTTTCTCCCAAAAAGCTAAGATTTTAATAAATGCGTCTTTAATGTAGGTAACATAGATTACAAAACTTTTAGGCTGTTGTTGTAGTAGTATTTTGTCGCTTGGCATAATACATTAGAGAGTTTATCGAGGTACTTATTACTCTCTTTATTAGACTTGGACGTAAATAGTAATTATATTAAATTACATTAAAACTTCTTCATCATCTTACGTAAAACATTTACTTTATTTTATCCATGTTTAAAGACTAAAATTAAGCTAAGCCTATTTATGCTAAGCCTATTTACAAGTCCTTACGGAAGGTTTATGGAGGGTTAAGTATGTTATACAAAAATGCTTTTCTTTATAAGTCACGTAACTAAACTACAGTCAATAGGATTTCGTGCTAGAACAGAATGTATCAGAACTACATTTTGAGATTGTTTGGATTTTCGTAGATATTGTTATTCCAACAAAAGTTAGTTGCTTTGGGGGGGGGGAGGGTATTTAACCTTTCTTTTCAACATATTCATACCCTCAGATCGAAGATTTAGTATTTCCGAAACAGGGATATCCCTTGTACTTAATGTCATTGGGAAACAAAGGAAGATGAATCAACTTGGGGGACCAGTACCACTCAGAAAGATACCTGCAACAAGTGGTACCCCAACCGTGTTAAGCAAATTGCGGCGTCTTGTAACGGGTGTAAATCCACGAACACAAAGGTAAGTGGGAAAAAAAAGACATCCACGTGCCTCAAGCAATATTAGGCAACATAATAAAGAAGGATGTTCGGCAGGAAAAGCGACAAGAGTCACGTGTACGCAAGGTGCGTTCACGACAGATTTGTTCAAACGTCGCATCCCTCAAGCAGCTAAAGAATGAAACAGGTGTCTATGTAATTCCGTACAAAGACAGATCGATCAAGACGCCAGACACAGCTATGCATCTCTTTGCTATCGACTCTTGAAAAGGGCGATAGGAAACAGTCACCCTTGTACACTAAACGGCTTATAGAAAGCAAACTAGAAGGAAGAGATGCCTTAGACATTAAAGTCTTACAAAGGAGTCTTTTATAACGAAAACTACGCTGCAGGGCTTTGTTAAAATTCACGGTTGTCAGACAGAATATCACTGGATATGACGATATGAAATGTAACGATGGAGTGACGCTCCAAATCGTTTTAATATTACGTACTCGATCTCTGTATACTATAAATATGTTTTTTTTTTTGGGATTGGCGGATTATCCAGGAATACATACATGCAAGCAACAAAACTCAAACAAAATTAACCAACCAAACCTATTTTCTTAAGACTAACCATATGTAATTAAGCTTTAAGATTTGAATACGTTAATCAAGATTATTGAAATCACGATGCTATGTATTCCTAGGTAG